TGGAGGACACGGACCAGGCGCGGGTGGTGCCCGGGGCTGCCGAGGGCATAGAGGAGATGCTGGACTGGGCAGGTAGCGACATTCCCTTCCTTCTTTACTCACTGAAAGATGCTCTCCTTTTTGGAGAGGGACAGTGCCCAGGTTGAGAGCGTTTTGTGTGTTCGCAAGCTGTGCAGCGTTTCAGATGCTGGATTAGTTGAAATGCAGTTATTTATACAGCTGGGCGCACGTTTCATGGCAGAAATAGCTGGTGGCTGGGCTTGGTTCCTTTCGACTGTGTTGTCTGCCACGGAGCACAATCCAAATTCACAAAAGTGGCCCAATGTGGAGCTGTGACAAAGGCTGTACATGAGAGACTGAGGGAAGGGTTGGAGGTTGGAGCTCACAGACCTCGCTGTAAATGTGTAAATTGTGTGCAGAGCGTTTGCTAGAGGGGGTCTGGGGGTGACAGTTTTCATATCGAATCCTCTGCATCTTTTTGAGCTCAAGAACCAGAAGTGAGGGGGTTTTAGATTAGAGAATTGTGATAAACTTAGAGCCAGATGCACACAGGATACCCTACGTGCTCGTGGTGTTGGCTGCTGTTTATCTCCTGAGTCCAGAGTTCTGGAGCGTGTTCAGAGCAGAGCCACAAGGATGGGGAGGGCTCTGGAGAACAAGCCTGATGAGGAGCGGCTGAGGGAACTGGGCTGGTTCAGCCTGGAGAAGAGAAGGCTGAGGGGAGACCTCAGCACCACCTCCAACTGCCTCAAGGGAGGTTGTGGAGAGGTGGGTGCTGGTCTCTTCTCCCAGGTGATGGGGGATAGAACAAGGGGAAACGGCACCAAGCTGTGCCAAGGGAGGTTCAGGTTAGAGAGAAGGAGGAAGTTCTTTACTGAGAGGGTCGTCAGAAGCTGGCACAGGCTGCCCAGGGAGGTGGTGGAGTCACCATCCCTGGATGTGTTTAAGGAGCGGGTAGATGAGGTACTTAGGGATATGGTTCAGGGGGTAGACAGGAGCGGTTGGACGTGATGATCTCAGAGGGCTTTTCCAACCGAGCAATTCTGTGATTCTGTGATTCCAGGGGCATCCAACTCCTGTGCTGGGCAGATGCCGTTGCCTGGCTGCCCTGGAGCAGAAGCTGTCTGGATGCTCCTAAACCCCTGCTGTTTCACCTGCGTTTAACATGCTGCGATGGCGGCTTTCACTCTTTCTCAGTCCTGTCGCTGATGTTTCAGGTATTCCCCCTGATGAGAGCCCTCGCCGCGGTGGCCCCTTCGGGCCCTACCAGCAGTCGCAGAGGCTGGAGCTGTACAGGAGAGCCAGCGAGGTGCTGCTGGAGCGGGGCGCCGCGTACCGCTGCTTCTGCACCGCGCAGCGCCTGGAGCTGCTGAAGAAGGAGGCGTTGCGGAGCCATCAGACCCCGCGGTAGGGACTCCTCATCCCCTGGGTGGCTCCCTCTGTGCTGCACGCTTGAAAGAACCTCATGACAATGTGCACGGGATTGTAATCTCACTGTGTGTAGGGAGAGAAGCCAGCGCAGCCCTGAGGGGAGTGACCTCCAGAGATGCGGTGGTTTGGCTGGATGTGTGGTGGGCAGGTTACAGCTGAATTCAGGGACTGATTTAGAGTTCTGGGAATGTAAAGATGGGCAGTGGGGTTGGCCTGCGTTGGTCTGACACTGTTGTTCTCCTTCCTTAAAGCTACGACAACCGCTGTCGGCACCTGACGCCCGTGGAAGTGGCCGAGAAGCTGGCGCGGGGCCTCGGCTGGGTGGTGCGGTTCCGGCTGGAGAAGGGGGTGCAGCCCTTTCGGGACCTGGTCTACGGCTGGAACAAGCACGAAGTGGCCGACGTGGAGGGTGACCCAGTGATTCTGAAGGGCGACGGCTTCCCCACCTACCACCTGGCAAACGTGGTGGATGACCACTACATGGGCATCAGCCACGTGCTGCGGGGAACCGAGTGGCTGACGTCCACCTCCAAGCACCTCCTCCTCTACAAAGCCTTTGGCTGGGATCCCCCTGAGTTTGCTCACCTCCCGCTGCTCCTGAACAAAGACGGTGGGAAGCTGTCCAAGAGGCAGGGGGACATCTTTCTGGAGCGTTTTGCTCGGGATGGTTTCTTGCCAGAGGCGCTCCTGGACATCGTGACCAACTGTGGCTCTGGGTTCACAGGTAATGACAGGGGTGGTGCTTGATGCTGGCTCTGGGGAACGGCTTAGGCTTATTTTAATAGCTGAGGACTTGGACAGTGTTTGAAGGGGTCAGGAAAGGTGCCAGGCGAGCACTCCGTCACTAAATGCTTCTGCAGAGCTCCTGCGTGGTGTGCTGGGATGATGGGAACCTTTCTGCCTCTCTCAAACCACTTCAGCTGGGTCTGGTGCTTAATGGGTTCCCACTGGGGACAGCATTCATGTCAAGGGAAGGAGCTGTCTATGAACTCCTGGGAAAACTCACCTTCTCTGGTTAGTAATTGCAGTGTTGTGTATTACATCTGGCACGCTTCTTGTTTAACCTGAAAGGCTGCGAGGAGCTGAGTCAGTGACTCACTTTGTTGCTCTTGCTCTGCGGGGATCACAAATTAACTTGTGTTTTGGGATCTCTGCTTGGGATTGAAGCCTCTCCTGGGCAGCAGAGTCTCCTGGCCAAGCATTACTTCTTTTTGCCTGGCTGGTGCAAGGGGTGCTCCACTGAAGAGCCAAGCAGCATCCCAGTTCCTCACCAGCAGGAGAGTGGATGTGTGCCATTCCCTCGTTGGGTTATTTTGCAGAGAAACAGATGGGGAGGACTTTGGAGGAGCTGATCTCGCAGTTCGAAATAGGCAGAATTACCACCCACTCTGCCCTCCTGGATCTCGAAAACCTCCCAGAATTCAACAGGTACAAATATCAGTGGTTACTTGAATATTAATAATGTCTACTTCAGTGACAATTGATGCCTAGCCCTGGGCTTTGTCTGGGGATTTGGTTTGCTGGCTCAAGCGTGGTCCCAGCGCAGCGGCTTTTTGGCTGTGCTACAGTGAAGGTAAGTCTGCTTACACTGCCTCTGCTGCTGTCGAAAGCTGGGCAGTGGAGTGTAGCTGGGAGGATGCAAAATCTTCAGCTGAGACTCAAAATAACTCCTAAAAAGAGGCAGCACCTCCAGAGGGTACTTCTGCACACACACATGTGTGCTGCGGGGAGGTCGTGCTGCTGAGAGTTACATGGATGGGGTGATCGGATCCAGTCTAACCCAAAGCTGTCCAAAAGCAGTTGAAGTCCAAAAGCAGATTTCTCCTTTGTTACAGGATTCACCTCACCCGTCACATTGAGCACAAAGGGCTGCGACAGAAGCTCGTTAGAGAGCTGCAGGAGCTGGTGGAGCACGTCTATGGGGATCAACAAGTGGATCAAGAGGTTCTCGAGAAGGAGTACGTGGAGCGAGTCCTCCTGCTCAGGAAAGTACGAGCACTGGCGGTGTCTCACTGTTCTGGGAAGCTGTGGTTTTGTGGGGTTCCTGCCTGAAGGCTCAGCCGAGTTCTGGGCACTGCTTTTGGAGCTCTGAAGTTCTGCAGCCTGCGAACAGCTGTCGCTGCCAGCTGCAGTGGCTGTGCACGCCGGTGTCCGTGGTTGTTGACCCGTAGGAACGGGCACGGTGAATATCTTGGTGGCCTTTGCGGAGTTGTGAGCTCATCTGTACTTTGCCAAGCAAAGAGCTCACTCGGCAGAGGCAGGACGTGTCCACACTGTTAAAGCAAATCGTGAGGTTGTAGGGTTTTCTTGGCAGGCCCCTCAGTTCCTGCTCAGGGCAGCACAGTCAGCAGTGTGGGATCAGGCCAGCCATGGCTTGGTCTAGATGTGTGGTGACAGCCTCCAAGCTGCGCTTCCCTCCTGTAGCCCAGGACGTGGTGGGGAGGGCCAGCTCCGGGCCCCTCGTGCCAGGACACCGCTTACCTCTGGCTCTTGCTGCCCGGGCAGCGTCGGACACTTCTGCTGCATGCTCCATGCTGTGGTAGCAAAGCCAACGCAATCTCTTTGCAGAGGCGGATGAAGCTCTCAGAGGTTAAACCAGCAGGGTTTGTGCACTGGAAGCCCTGGTCCCGGCTGTAAAGGGGACAGAGGATGCTGTGGCTCTTCCCAGTGGCAGGAGGAGGCTGAGCCCAGTTTGCCCCTGGGAGGCACACAGCCCTGCAGCACCCACAGCGCTTTGGGCTGCCCCAGCCTCCCTGCGCATACCGGGGATGTCACGTTTCCCCCCGAGCAGCGCGGAGAACGGGGCAGGGCTGTGTTTGGACCTGCTTCAGCTGTTGGTGCGGTCCAACCGGGATGAGTTTGCTGCCCTGCAGCTTAACCCTCAGCCTTGACAGCTGTGCTCTCTCTCTGCAGGGTCACATAGCCTTCCTGAGGAACCTGGTGTCGTCTGATTATTCTTACTTATGGGTTAGGCCCTCGGTGTCCCGAGAGCAGCTACGAGCGATTTCTGCAGAAGCAGATGAAATAGGAGCACTGGTTGTGGGGTAAGTGTCTCTTCCCAGCTCTGTGCACACCCACCTGCCCGCCCTGAGTGATGCCCTTGGCTGCTGTGAGGCTGTTGGACACGCTCATAGTTCCTCTTTAATCTGCTCTCCTTTGGAATGTGCTGCAATTAGTAACTGGTGAGGAATTCATGCTTTAATTGAAAAGCAGCTTGCCAGCAAGAAAGCTCATCTCTGGGTTTTGTAAGGCATGAGGCACAGTGGGGTTTGGGTGCCAGCATGGTTAGCAGGGTGTTCCCCTCATCTCCTGTGCCTTTGTCTGCTGTGGAGAATCCCAGATGTCAGGAGTTGGCAGGGACCTGGAAAGCTCCCCCAGTGCAACCCCTGCCACAGCAGGATCACCAGAGCAGTCACACAGGAACACGGCCAGGGCTTTGGGTGTCTGCACACAAGGAGCCTCCGCAGCCTCTCTGGGCAGCCTGGGCCATGCTCCAGAACCCTCACACTGACAAAGTTTGGCCTCATCTTCAGCTTGAACCTCCTGTGCTCCAGCTTGGGACCATTGCCCCTTGTCCTGGCATTGGCCATCCCAGAGCAGAGCCTGGCTCCTTCCTCCTGACACTGCCCTTTCCCAATGGATCCCCAGGAATGAGGGCACCCCTCAGTCTCCTCTGCTCCAAGCTCAAGAGCCCCAGCTCCCTCAGCAGGAGATGCTTTTGTCAGTGTGTGTTCACACTGTGGGTCCAGTGAGACCTCTGGGTCTCTGTAACAAACCCACTGTGTCTGTCTGGAGTCACTGTCACTTGTGAAGAGCTCGTCCCTGGCATCTTCTGCTTCCACCTCCGTGTCTGCAGCTCTGCTGAGAACCATGCTGGGATGGCACACAGTGCCCCTCTGGGACCCGCCTTCTGTCCCAGTCCTGTGGGGTTTTGCCAACCTGTGTCACTGCTGCCCCATGTCTCTCTGCTGCCCATGCCTTGCAGCTGTGTCAGTCGCCTTCCCAGTTCAGATCTCACATCTGGACTAAGATGAGCCCTGAAAACCAGTTTTGAGAGTGATTAAGGTGGCAGTATCTGCAAATTGAGGTCTTATTCCCAGCTACCTATGGAGGTGGTTGCCCTCAGTCATTTGTCACAGCTGAGGGGTAACTGAATCCAATCCATGGTAATTTAAATGTGGGAATACTCGCTGTCCTGGAGGGATGATTGTACTGCTCCCTTCAGCTGAGCAGTATCAGCAAGGGCTCCTGCATCTCTAAAAATCACATTATTACAAAAGAAATCAGAAAGCCTGCTTCCCCTGTGGGTTTCCAGGTCCTTTTGTGATTTAAACTCGACGCTTGCTTTTCTGAGCAAGCTCTGCCTCTGGTGCTGTTGAAAGGTGGTTTTGGAAGCGGTGCTGGGTGAAGCTGTCCTGGGAGGCCCCAGCACAGGAGCAGCGCTGCAGGGAGCACGGGGCAGGAGAGAGGGGCAGGGACGTTCACCTTGAGCTGCTGCTGGTGCCAGAAGATTTAGCAAAACCAGCCCGTGGTGGCTGGCATTCGTTGAAGCCATTTTTGGGTGGGAATCCCGCGTTTCATACGTCCCCACATCTTCTTCCCTAAAGGCTGATGGCGAGGCAGGCGGCTGTTGTGACGATGGAGGAGCTGAGCAGAGCCCTGCGAAGCCTCCAGGAGCAAACCCGAGAGACCAAGTACAGCAGCATGATGCAGCTCCTTCGCCTGGCGCTCAGCGGGCAGCAGGTAACGAATTCTGAGACAGAGACCTTCCTAGTTTTGTTTTAGGCAGCTAATTTTGTCTCTGGTAGCGAGATCCTGGTATTTGGACATCTCACAAGAGCTGCCACCAGTTTCTGTTATGAGTGAATGTACCCGTGTGTTCTGACTATAGCAGTTGTGGTAGAAAGAGCTGTTCTGGGGGATTCAGAAAGGCAGAAGTTGTCAAACCTTGAATGTGCCAGTCACAGAACTGAAGTTAGAGAAACCTCTGGACCAGCTGTGGGGAGCGTTGGCGAGGTTGTAGATTTTGGGCAAAGCTGGGATTTTCTGTGCAGTCTGCTCTTACAAAGTTCAAACCCAAGTTTTACTGAAGTTCTTCAAAGCCCGGTCCTGGCTTAGGCTCTGGCCTCGGTCCTGGGGCAGTTGGGTCCGCTCTTAGCACTTCACTTCAGGAGAAAAAGAAAAGCCAAAGCCTTGTTTTGAGATGGGTAACAAAACCCCTGCCCTTGGTCTGACAGCGATCTGATAGCTAATCACTCTATCGCTTCCGTCGTGATTCATCAACGCGTGGTGGAAATGGAAGTTTCCATGTGTACAGTGACTTCTCCTGTGCTTTCAGCATGGCCCGAGCGTTGCTGAGATGATGCTGACCTTGGGACCCAGGGAGGTGTGCGGCCGAATTCACAAAGCGCTGTCTGGCTGACGCGAGGCCGAAATGACGCCGAGAGCCAGCCCGCGGACTGGGACGGTGCAGGCACCACGTGTCGCTGTCCCACACCTCTACTGCTTGGTCACAGCGTGGTTTTCTGTGACCAGATGAGCTGGCCTTTAGGCCAGGTCCCCGTGGTATTTCCAGGTCTGTGTGTGTCTGCACTGAGCATAAGCCACTTCATCCAGGAGAGGAACCAGATACAGAATTAGGTCCACCCTGCTCTCATCATGTACACATAGCCTGGTTTCCAGGCTGGGAGAAAGAGACATTTATCAGCGTTTAATTTCAGACCACACGGACAGAAAATAATGCTGTTTCTGATACAGAATGGTTCATCTCAAGAAACTGGGCTCTTTTTGGAGAGCACCTCACAATCAAGGTGCCTACAGCTACGACTATGCAGATCTCCAGCAAATACCGTGGGAAGGATGTTTTTGTATATATAAATATAATATAATATAATACGTGTGATGTTGCTGCTGCCCTGGTGTCCTGCTGAGCTAAGCGAGCTGCTTGGAGAGGGACACCGTGCTCCCCATGTGCTGTGTCACGCGCGTGGTTCTGCTAAAAATACCCCTTGATGAGGAGATAGGCGATGCTCCTTTCCTCTTTTTGCCCGGTGGCTTCTTAATCATTCAATTAACGCGGTGACTTTTGATTGGGTCGCTCGCTGGAAGGAGGAGCACCCGGAGGG